TGTTAGGTCAACGTAAGTTGGAGTAGAGGGGTTTTTTTTTTCCAAATGCCTCGTTCTAGATGTTTGGGGTGATGCCTCCCATAATTGTGGGGTTCTTGGTTTCTTGCAGACATTTCATTACCGAAGCAGGTGACATCCTCAGTGTGATGGTCCTTGATATAGCACTGATGATGTTACTTAGTTGGGTCATGAAACATCTGAAAGAAAACCGCCAAGCTCAGAGAGCCCAAAGGACCCTACAGTTTTTCCTCCTCTTCCTCCTCCTGCTCTTCCTCCTCCCTTCTAGCACAGATGATGTTACCTAGTTGGGTCATGAAATGTCTGAAGGAAAATTGCCACACTTAGAGAGCACCAAGGACCCTATAGTCTTCCTCCTCCTCCTTCTCCTCCTCCTCCTCCTCCTCTTCCTCCTCCTCCTCTTCCCTTCTAGTACTGCTGATGTTACCTAGCTGGGTCATGAAACATCTGCAAGAAAATCGCCAAGTTCAGAGAGCATTAAAGACACCATAGTTCAACCCCATGCTTCAATGTTTCTCTTCTATCCTCCCTTAATTCTTAAGAGAACTTTGCTATTTATAGTTTGAAGGGTAACCATTTTTAGCCCAAAAGCTTCTTGCAGAAAAGGCAGAAATAACCTCATTATTTTGTCTCCGGGTTCTGAAGAACATCAAAATATCTGCAACCTTTGATCTGGAGAGAACTCACCATATTCCTCATCCTCTTAGCAAAACCAGGTTATGTTACAACATCCTTTTTTCATTCTGTTATGGCCAATATTCCTGGTTTACTATCGTTAATAGGCCCTCAAATCCACAAATATTCTCCCTTTTTAAAAGTCACATTTCTCCATCGCTTCCCCTTCTGGTTCCATCATCCCCTCCACCCAAACTCATTTCCCAAAAGACACACAGAGATTATTATTATTATTATTATTTTGCCACAACGAACTTCACCCAGATACCTGAATTTACAAGAAAATGGACCAAACACAGATCAAACCTTGGAGAAAGATAAAATAAAGACCTTCACTGTCCATTTTAGCCTCCTTCTGTCCAGAGGTTATGCAAGAAACTGAAAACAAACCAAGTTTCCCCTTTACCCTCCCTTTTTTTTCCTTTTTTTCCGGCGTATAATCACCATTCCTAGTTCCCAGATCCATCCCAATGCTTAACCCAGAGGAAGACAATCAGGCTTGTTAACACTACACATCACAAATTCTCTTACCAAATCTGAATGATTCCGAAAAATGCCAAGCCCCCGGAAAATATATATATATATATATGTATATATAAAATCAATCCATTTGCTAAAATCCAAGAGAATTCTTAGGAAACCAAGTTAGAATTATGGTAAAGAAAGAAGAAAATTCTAATTCCAAGGGGTAAAACAAAACCAAAAATCAATTCTGGCCTTCATCCCCAGTGAGGGGGAATTTGGCTTGGAGAAAGTGGGGTTTGCCGATCATTTCTGGCCTTCGTCCTCCTTTCTTGGGCGGGGGGTCCAGGGCACGGGTCAGTGGTGGCCCATGGGAGCTGGTCTTCTTTTGGATCCAAGGAGAGAAAGTTGACCAGAAGACTTGGGCGCTTACAACCTTCTCAACTGGTGTTTATGGAGGAGGGGAGCGATTTTTATTTTTTTAAAACCCATAATCCACGTTCAACGGTCTCTTAATAGCTAATCAGATTAGGTCCTCGGAGGAGGGGGGGGGAGAGGTAGGCCGGACTGCAGCGGGGGGGGCTGGGTGGGCAGGGGAGAGGCAGGTGACCTCACGGCCAGGGTGACGGAGCGGAGGCCAGTCTAGATGAAGCAGAGAGACAAAAGAGTGGAGGTTGGCGCTGCTGGAAATTGTCGACCCTTTGCAAGGTGATGAGATGTTTATTTATTTTGATTTGTCCGTCGCTTACAAGGCAATAGGTATAAGTATGAACATAGTTATGAATACGTGAAATGGGTACATATAAGAAAAATAAAAAAGAAACAATAGGACAGGGACGGTGGGCACATTGGTGCGCTTATGCACGCCCCATACAGACCCCTTAGGAAAGGGGTGACATGGTCCATAGTAGACAGTCTATGGTTAAAGTTTTTGGGGTTTGGGGAAGAAATCACAGGTAGAGGATTCCAGACATTGACCACTCTGTTATTGCTGAAGTCGTATTTAGTTTGGTGCGGTTTATTTTGAGTTTGTGTCTGTTGTTTGATTGCAGAGAAAGGGATGGAGAGAAGAGCGCAAAAAATGAAGGACGGGAGGGAGAAGGAAAAGGATGAAGAGGCCCAATGGAGGGAAATTCCTACAAGGCAACTGGGGGGAGGGGAGGGAAGGGGAGGGGAGTGGAGCTAAGAGCCAACTCTTTGGCCAGAGATTTGAGAGACAACCCATTTGAGAAAATGCTGGTTAGATGTTGGGCAGATCAGGAGACCACAAAACCGAAGAAGGTGGCTTGAAAGAGAAAGCTGCAAGACGCTTTGGAAGGGATTGAAGCCTCCTGCTGTGAGTCCAAAATACTTTTTTCCCCCTTTTCTTTCTTCCATCCTTTTCCTTCCTTCCCTCCCTTTTCTTTCCTTTCATTCCTTCTTTCCCCTTCCTTCATCCTTTCCCCACCTTCCTTTTTTCCTTCCTTTTTTCCATCTTTTCCCCCCTCCCTTTTTTCTTTTATTCCTCTTCCATCATTTTCCTTTCCTTTTTTCCTTTCTTCATTCCTTCTTTCCCCTTCCTTCATCCTTTTCCCAGGTTCCTTTTTTCCTTCCTTCTTTCCATCTTTTCCCCCCTCCCTTTTTTTCTTTTATTCCTCTTCCATCGTTTTCTTTTCCTTCCTTTTTTCCTTTCTTCATTCTTTCTTTCCCCTTCCTTTTCCTAGCTTTTCCTTCCTTCCTCTTCCTTTCCTTTTCTTCCTTCCTTCTTTCCATTATTTTCCTCCCTCCCTCCCTCCTTTCCTTTTTATTCCTTCCATCATTTTCCTTCCTCCCTCCCTTTTTCTTTCCTTTCTTCCCCTTTATTTTCCTTCCTCTTTTCTTCCTTTTCCTTCCTTCCTTCTTTTTTTTTCCTTTCTCTTTTCTCTTTTCTTTTTGCAGGGTTGCTAGATAACCAGGAGAGAATGTGAAAAGTAGATCAAACTGAGGCAGGAAAAGGGACTTGAGCAGGAATCAGATCTGGGGCAGCCCATTTCAAAATCAAACCGAGCGTTTCTCTTTTGCGCCTAACACAGCTTCCTTTGCAAAAAAAAAATGTAATACTTCTGGCAGGGGGACTATTTTGGGGCAGACCCCTGCTGGGTTGAACACGCTTTGTCTATTACTGTTGTACGGGGAGGACCGGGGGGGGGGGGGGGGGGGGGGGGGGGGGGGCTGCAAGCAGGTTCTTCAGCCGAAACTGGTGGGAATGGAGCCCTGCGACAAATTCCCCGGAAAATGGGCAGGTTGCAGGGAACGGGGAAAGGTCGTCTAATCCTGAGCTTTGCACGCGGGACAGCTTGGATGATAAAAGGAAGGACAATAAAACACGTTTTATTTTGATCACCGAGATTCTGTGCCTCTTAATGTTTCACTTCAGGAAATGAAAGAAACAGAGGAGAAAAATTGCACAGCGGAGCAATTTTTCAGCGCCCCACCCCACCCCCCGGCCCCAGTTAACCAGTAAACCCAGTTAACCAGAATAAAGCCTACCATTGTTTAATGTGGGCTTGGAGTGGTGCAGTGGCCCAGAGGTGTTCTCGCCTCACAATCAGGAGGCTGTTAAATTTGATCCTAAGTAGAGGCAGATTATTTCTCTCTCTGGTCACAATGAGAATATATCCGCTGAACAAAACTCCACGCTGGCAATAGGAAGGGCATCCGGCCATTAAAACCCTCTGCTAACTCCATTCGGTTGCTCCGACTCCACCCCGCAAGGGATTACGGGGTCGTTAAAGAGGATCGTTTAATGTTTAGTGCTGGTCCAATGGAAAAGTGTAGATTCATGCACCCGCCTTGTTAAAAGTTGAGCAAACTTGCTCCAAGGTGGTGTTGTGCAAAGCAATTTTAGATACACTATAAAGCACGCAGTCCAGTTTTTGCAACTGTGAAAATTACGAAGCGTGCGTTCTGCCAACGCTTGCCAGCTGCAGGGGCGCCCAACTACCTATTGCAGGCAGTCCTCAACCTACAACCGCTTGTTTGGAGACTGTGTGATGACACCATGGCTCTGAAAAAAGTGACTTACGGCCGTTCCTTGCAATTATGACCGTCGCAACATCCTCGCGGTCCCATGATCAAAATTTGGGAGGTTGGCACTGGTATATAGCATCCAGGGATCACATGATCGCCACTGTGACCCTAACCAACCTCCGGCAGACAAAGTCAATGGGAGAAGCTGGATTTGCTTAACGTCGACAAGATTCGCTTAACGACCGCAAGGATTTGTTTAACAGCCAGTACAAAAACGGTCATAAAATCCCCACACGACTCGCTCAGCAAGTGCCTCACATAGCAACGGGAATTCTGCTCCCAACTGAGGCCGTTAACCTGAGGACTAGCTGTATGTACAAAACTCTGAAAAGCAGCGGGATCTTTTTAACTTTACGTCTCTAAAAGATCTGAATTCCCCACATTTAAGGATTTAAAGCTCAGCAGGACTGTGCCAGTAAGAGAGATTAACTATTTAAATAAAAGGAAATTAACAGATTCCCACCTTTCTACCGTGCCGCCACCGCTGATATCTTTCTTCGTCATCATATGTTATTGATTTAATCTTATTTGCTTGTTATAAGTGACAATTTTAATGTTGTTTAAAATGTTTTTACGCTGTAAGCTGTAACCTAGAGCCGTTTTAACACAGGACAGATGGCAACTGTTTCATAATAAATACATAAAACGAATAAAAACTATTCTCCCTACAATCCCCAATTTTAAACAGACCAGTTTTTCAACCAATCGTTTGGTCCTTCACTGAGTTAGAAGTCAACATGTTATGAAAAAGAACTGCAATGCCAGCGACAAGGAAGAAGAGCGGGGGGTGCTACTCTTTGCTTAAAAACAGCTCACGGTGCCATTTATTTAGAAAATAACCTTTTTACAAAAATAATAAACTCTGCAAAAAAGAGCAAACGTATAAAGCCAAGCCGGGCGTTCCTAGAACTTGGTGTATCCAGAAGTAAACACGACAAACCAGGTTTAGGATGGGCTTGAAATAAGCCAGGAAAGGTTGCTTATGGAGAAGGTTGCAAATGCATCCTGTAACTTGACGCTAAGAAAGCCTCTTTCCTTTGAGGTCGGGTGGAACAAAGCTGTGGAAGACTCCAAACTTAGCCAATTTAAAACTTTTGGGCTTCAACTCCCAGAATTCCCCAGCCAGAATTCAGCATGGATAAGAACCAATGTGGCTAAACTACCTTTATTGCATTTTTTTTAAAAAATGGGATAAATTCCTTGATAGCGGGTATGCGGTCGACGTAATATATCTTGATTCTCAGAGAAGGGAGAGGGGGGGAGGAGCTGGCTGGGGGATTCTGGGAGTTTGAAGTCCACAAGTCTTAAGGCGGCCATGTTTGGAGACTTCTTCTGCAAATGGACTGCAGAATGGACCTCGGGAATAAGAGAAACGCCGACGGATGAAATTCAGAGATCCCGAGAAGTAGATCTTGCAAAGGTCTGGCGGCATCGTTTCTCGGCGACCCCAAAACGGGGCCCCACGGAGGTCGTTCCCATTTCTGACTTTGCCAGAGTGGCGGCTTAAAACGACACAGTCTTCCATTCCCAGCCTTATTTTAGATTCCCTAGCTGGACAGCAAGCCAGGGTTTGTTGGCGATGCTCCACCTGTGTCGATCCAGCGGACAAAGCCACGAAATGGGGGGGCGGGGGGGGGCGGAGATAAGCGATCCGGTGGCCGAGACGCTATCTCCACACGCTCCCTCCCCGGCTGCTGCTGCTGCTGCGAGAGTGTGAGGCCAGCGAACCGGAGAGCTTCTTCCCCGTCTTCCCAGGAGCGTGGGACCTCTCGCGACCAGGCCCTGAGCTCCCCGCCCGCCGGCTGGGAGGGCCCTGAAGAGGAAACAAGGACAGAGACTGAAAGCGTTCCCGGGGTCGCGATTTCCTCGCCTGCCTTGCTTGGGGGTTGGGGTTAGGAGCAAGAGGCGGATATTCAGACGGTTCGGACCAGTTCTGCAGGACCGATAGCGGAAATTTGGAGTAGTTCTGCAGAACTGGCACATGCAACCTCTGACTGGCCCCACCCCCACCTAGTCTCTGCCTCCTGAGTCCCAGCTGATTGGCTGGGTCTTCTTTGGTTGCCCTGCACAGGAGAACGGAGCTGGAAAGCAGGTTAGTGGGGTGGGGAGGGGAGGGGGATTTTACAGTATCCTTCCCCTGCCATGCCCACCAAGCCACACCCACCAAGCCACGCCCACAGAACCGGTAGTAAAATAAAATTGAATCCCACCGCTGGCTAGGAGCCTTGCCAGTCTTCCCAAGCCTAAGCAGTGAGTTGGACTAGAAGAACTCCAAGGTCCCTTCGATTCTATTCTCTCTCATCTCTCTATCACTTTGTTCTGTTTTTTTTCTACTGGGAAACCAGGATCTTGCTAGATGCTAATCCAGAACCAAAGGCTCTGGGCTGCAACCTTTTGGAGAAAGAACAGGGACCTCGTCCTCACTTGGAAAAGAAACGCAAGGAAAACGTCCGGGGATCCACCTGGCTAGAGGAGAGACAACTTCTGGGAAATCAATCTTGCTGGAAATCACCTCATCGGGGCACCTCATTTTAGGAGACGCAGCTGTTCTATTCTATTCTATTCTATTCTATTCTATTCTATTCTATTTCTATATTCTATTCTATTCTATATTCCAATATGGTTCTGTTCTGTTCTATTCTATTCATTTTCTATTCTATTCATATTCTATTCTATTCTATTCATTTTATTTTATATTCATTTTCTATTCTATTCTATTCTATTCTATTCTATTCTATTCTATTCTATTCTATTCTATATTCTATTCTATATTCCAATATGGTTCTGTTCTGTTCTATTCTATTCTATTCTATTCTATTCTATTCTATTCATTTTCTATTCTATTCTATTCTAAATTCTATTCTATTCTATTCATTTTCTATTCTATTCATTTTCTATTCTATTCTATTCATTTTCTTTTCTATTCTATTCTATTCTATTCTAAATTCTATTCTATTCATTTTCTATTCTATTCTATTCTATTCTATTCTATTCTATTCTATTCTATTCTATTCTATTTTCTATTCTTTTCTATTCTATTCTATTCTATTCTAAATTCTATTCTATTCTATTCATTTTCTATCTGATCCTATCCTATCCTACCCTACCCTACCCTACCCTACCCTACCCTACTCTATTCATTCTAATTCTATTTCTATTCTAGTTTGTCCCTGCTCCAGAAATGCAGGTAGTCCTGTATTTGTTTAGCGACTGTTGGAAGTTACAATGGCAGTGAAAAAAAGACATTTAGGAACGGTTTTCACACATATGACTGTGCCAGTGTCCCTGGGGTCACGTGATCAACATTCAAGCCCTTGGTGACTGATTCGTATTTATGCCGGTCGTGGCAGCCCCCAGGGTCACGTGATACCCTTTTGCGACCTTCTGAATTAGCAGGAGTTGGCGGGGGAGGGGGAGGGGACCAGATTCGCTTAACAACTGTGTTACTAACTTAACCACAGCAGCGATTCGCTTCACGGCGGTGGCAAGAAAGGCTGTTAAAGGGGGCCAAGCCCACTTCCCAAATGGTCCCGCTTAGCAGCAGGAACGACGGCCTCGGCGGTGGTTGCTAAGTCGAAGACTGCCCGTAACCATGTCCGTAATGATGCACCTACCTCTTTCCTCATCGATTCGGACAATTTCGGATCGAGGTTCCGGCGGGCTGGCAGGTTCCCGTCGCCTTTGGTTTCTGGGCTGGATGCAGAAATCCCAAAATTCAGAAGGAGGAGCCGTTAGAGCAAAACCCAGCCGCACACACAACACACACACACACACACACACACACACACACACAGCTCTCCACCCCTGGAAAAGTTGGGGCTGTCTCCTCCCTCTGAGCCACAGGGAGCGCAGAGGTCCGAGGGAGTCCATCCGTCCCCTCTTCCCCCAGGCCGAGAAGCGCCCCTTACACCTTACCCGTTCTGCCCTATCCTGTGCAAGTATTTGTACAGCTCTTCTGTGGAGGGCACAGGTCTCCCCTTGGCCTGGTACTGTTTGAGAAGGAGCGAGACGGCTGCCACGTGGTTGGGGGACAGGATGCCTTCTTCGTGGGCTGGGGGAGAGAAGAGGGGAGGGGGGGAGAGAGAGGGAGAGGACAGAGGAGAGGGAGAAGAGAGATGGGGAGATGGGAGAAGAGACAGAGTAGAAAAGGAGAGACAGGAAGAGAGGAGAAGAAGGGGAGAGAGGGAGAGGGAGAGGGGAGGGAAAGGAAGAGGAGAGAATTGGAAAGGAGGGGAGAGAGGAAGAGGGGAAAGGGGAAGAGGGTAGAGGGAAGGGGAGGGAGAGGAGAGAGGGAGAGAAGAGGAAATGAGAGGAGAGAGGAAGGGAAGAGAGAGGAGGGGAGGAGAGGGGAAGGACAGGGAGGGAGGGAGCGGAAGAGGAAAAGGGCAGGAAGGGGAGAGGGAGGGGAGGAGAAGGAGGAGGAGGAGGAGGAGGAAAAAGAAAAGAGAAAAAATAAGTCCAGGGCTCCAAGCGTGGCCAACTGGACCCACACGGGTCAAGGAACGACCACGTACCAACGTTCTGTTTGGAGGGGCTCACTGGTTCCAGGCTTAAGCAGACCGGTCCAGATTTGGGCAGGGGGACTTTGGTTTTTTGGACGGCGGCGCTGCTGGGTGGCTGGATGCGAATCGTGCTGAAAGAGGACTGCGCCGGATCCCAGAGGGCTGTGGACCGTTCGTGATAAAACTGAGAGTTACCTGGGAAAAGAGACAGGAAACCTTCAGGTGGGAAGGAGCAGAGGCCTCGATGCCACCAAGAATCGGAGCAGAGATCAGCTGAATTCCCAGAATTCCCCAGCCAGGAAGGTTTCCCAGAATTCAGCATGGACAAGTATATCTTCTTCTTTTAATTGGGAAACTTTCTTAGTCAATAGCGGGAATGTGGTAGGTGTAATATACCTTGATTTCAGCAAAGTGAGGAAAAAAATAATCCACGAGAAGTTAAATTAATAAACAAGTTAGAGGGTGGGAAAATTAAATGGGAAACTGTGAGGTGCTGGCTGGGGAATTCTAGGAGTTGAAATCCACAGGTCTTAAAAGCTGCCAAGGTTGGACATCCCTGCGTCACTTTTCACACGGTCTGTTCTCCAAATTCAGGCAGTCCTTACCTTGCCAAGAATTCTGATCCATTGGCACCCGGTTCCTAATTATGTAATCTTTATCCATTTAATATAGAAGCAGTCCTCAACTTCCCACCGCTCGTTTAATGACTGTTCAAAGGGCACTGAAAAATGTGACTTAGGCATTTGGAAGAGATTTCTTTTCAGGTGGGGAGGGGGAGAAGGACTCCTTAGCATCAGAGCCTGTTAATAATAATACAGGACAATAATAATAATACTCTAAATGCTCTGAGAGTCATTTGGAAAAATCCTTTCTTAGGGAGCCCCTAGAAGCCAAGAGGAACAGACGTGCCCAATTTCAAGTTTATAGGCTTGACGGTTCTGGAGATTTTTGTGATGATGCGTGAGGGTCTTCCGCTTTTATATATGTAGATATAAGCAAAGATTGGGAGAATGATCAGAAGCCGCTCGGGAAAGAATGGTCTTGGAAAAGTGGAGGAGGTAGGCTGGGCCAGGGGCTTACCGGCCTGGGTCCGATTCATGGTACGGGGTGGGCTGTCTGCGGCACACGTCTCAGTCTGCGGAGCGCTTCCTTCGAAGTCTGAGTGGCTCAGAAGCTGGTGGGGTGGAGATCGCAGGTGGAAAAGAGTTAGACGAGAAAGAACTCCGTTTCCCACACCCCACTCCAGGTCTATTATCAGTACCAAGAAAAAAAACCCAACATGGTTAATAAGGTAAATAAACATTTGGGGGGTTGGGAGAAAGGTTGGAGGTTTTAGGGAGAAAAGAGAGCCTTTTTAGCTTTGTGAAAACTTGCTTTAATAAGAAAGTTCAGTCACTGTAAAGCCACTCTTACATTATCACTATTTCTCAGCCTTGGCAGCTTTAAGACTTGTATCCTGACTGGGGAATTCTGGGAGTTGAAGTCCACATATCTTACAAGTCATTCTGGGATTTGGAGTCCACGTAGCTTATAGTTGCCAAGGTTGAGACACATTGATCTACAACTCAGCTAGACATCCAACTAGCTGGCCTTTCATACTCTCTCTCTCTCTCTCTCTCACACACACACACACACACAGACAGACAGACAGACAGACAGAAACACACACAGACATATCTTTTCCCGCAGGCTACAAAATGGCTCTGTACCAGGCGCATATAGTAGTTTAAGTCCGGCTGCAGTCCCTGCGTCCCACTCTCCCCAGTGCTGGGCTGAGTGACCTCGCTGTCATTCCCTGCCAACTCCGGGCTGGAGTCGTCCCTCTCATCCGCAAAGGGGTGTTCAGCCAGGTTTTCCGGGTGGAAATTCAAACCTGATAAAAGGAAAATGGAAAGGAAGGAAGGAAAAAAGGGGGAAAAGGGGAAGACTCAGATCTTAGTCTTGGTTCAGACGCGAAATCCGTCCATCTATCATCTATCTCTATCATCCATCCATCATCTGTCTGCCTGTCTGTCTATCTATCTGTCTGTCTGTCTATCTATCTATCAATCATCTATCAATCTATCTATCCATCCATCATCTATCGATCTATCATCTATCTATCATCTATCTTTCTATCTATCTATCATCTATCGATCTATCATCTATCTATCATCTATCTATCTATCTATCTATCTATCTATCTATCTATCTATCTATCTACCTATTCTTCCTTTCTTTCTCCATCCCTATCCATTTATCATTCATTTATCCACCGTTCATATATCGTCACTATCATCCCTCTCTCCCATATCTTGTCTTAATTATTTTTACAAAAACAGCAAAAATACCTAATATTCCTTCCTCCTTTTCCTATTTTCCCCACCACGAGAGAGTGAGGGAGAGGGAGAAGAAGAGAGAGAGAGGGAGGGAGACAGAGAGACAGAGGGGAGGAGGTAGAGAGGGTGAGAAAGGGAGGGAGGGAGGGGGAGAAGGGAGAGGGAGGAAGAGACAAAAACAGAGAGAGAGGGAGGGAGAGTGGGGGAGAGAGGAAGGGAGAGAACGAGGGAGAAAAAGAGGTTGGTCCAAAGCCACCCATCCAGCTTTCACACCCAAGGCAGGACTAGAAATCAGAGCCTCCATGTGTAGAGACCCTTGAAGGACGGCCTCCGTATGGCACACCCACCTGGTCCGGCGATGGTGGTGTCCACCTGGGGGTCCAGCTGCTGGAAGCCCTGTTGGCTGAGGAGGCTGGAGTTGAGAATGTGGCTGAATTCGGAGGAGAGGCGCCCTACGTCCGGCACCAGGGGCAGGAAAGGCCGGGAAGACTCCCGCAGGCGTTTTTCGGGACCTTCCGAGCCCCCCTGCAATTTGGTCTGCTGATGGAGGACAGGCTGCAGCGGCCCCACCTTGGCCCACGCCAGCTCCTTGCCGTCGCCCATGCCAGCATTGCTGCAGAGAGTCTCCCCCTTCGGGGTCTTCTTGGGCGGGTCAGGGGGCCCCAGAAATCCTGACTCGGAGTTGGGGTCTGATTCAGACTCCTACAAGGTCAAAGCAGGGGAAAAGGAAATTCTGTTTAAAGCCATAGGCGTCCAACCTTGAGCACTTTTAAGTTAAAGACTTGTGGATTTCAACTCCCCAAACTCCCTAACCAGCTCTTCTTTTCGACCGCATACCTGCTATGTCAGGATTCCAGCAATCGCCCTAATGAAATCATGATTCTCGAGCCAAACTTCAAAAAACTTCAGAAGGATTCATTAGAGGCGACATACTGGCATTACCCTGTATGAAGCCAACTCTGGCCTAGGTCATTTCCAGTCCCCTGTGAGCCTGTTTTCCCCACCTCCCTGCTGGGTGTCTCTTAAACAGATTCTCCAATTGAGCACGTTCACTGGCTGGGTGTCATCAATCACATTCTCCAATTAAATCTATTCGTGGACAAAAGCTCTGGTAGTTTAGTTACAATCTTTTATAGATAAGAGTTGGAATTTAATTTCCATAAGCTAAAAAATACTCCTTTGGTCTTTTTAGTTGTCAGCAGAAAGGGAGGCAGGGGAAAGCAGTGCATTCCTTAAATGCTTCAGATAATCGCTTTGGCAGCTGAAGCTATTGGCACTCAAGATTATTACTGGAGAGCATGATTGATGACTCTTGGCTATGGATGTGTCTCATTGGAGAATATACATCCAGGGAGTGGGAGGAAGACCAGGGTCAAGGGTGAAATGAACGATGTGTCAGAGTCGGCTGCAACCGGGAAACACCAACATGTCAACTCCTAGTAAATCAATCTTTTTCACTCTGAGCGATGTGGCTAGAGACTTATGATTTGAACAGGGTGGTGCATGTCAGAGTGCTGACACTTTCGCTTTCAAACTGCTGCACCGCTCTTCCAATTTCCTTTCTCCTCCCCTGCCCCCCTTTTCTTTTTTATGGCAATTAATAAAACAGGCCTAGGAATGTTTTATGAGTCGCCACACTATTTATTAAAAAAATTATCCCATCCCCTCGCAAAAAAGTGCAATAAAAGTAGTCTAGCCACATTTGTTTCTTATCCATGCTGAATTCTGGTAAACCCCGTGTCAACTCGTAAGACATCCCCATACCTTTTTTCAAGCTGCCATAAACGAAGTGGGGGCTGGGGGAGGGGAGGAGAAAAACCAGGAGTACATTCCACCATTGCCTTAAAAAGATTGTAGCTAAGCGACCGGATCTTCTGGGCCCGAAAATCCTTTATTGGGGAACACGATTGATGACACCCAGCCTGTGAACAGTGCTTCATTGGAGAATCTGATTTATGACACACCCGGGGGGGGGGGGGGGAACAGGGTCACGGGTTATTTGTGAATTTCGTATGCCAGAGTTGGCTTCATTTAGGTTAATGCCGGCCTGTTGCTCCTAATAAACCTTTTGAGGTTTTTTTTTAAGCTTGGCCCGAGGCTCATGATTCAATGAGGGCGATCGCCGGAACCCTGACATCCTGACTGGCTGGAGAATTCTGGGAATTAAAGTCCACTAGTGGCCACGGTTGGGGTCTAGGAAAAGTCTTCTCTGCTGTTGCCCCCAACCTGTGGGATATTATCTCACTCCCCCTGGAGGGGAGGCATCTGAATTTGGATCACGTGACCATGGAAATGCTACAACGGTCGTAAGTGTGAAAAACGGGCCATAAGTCACTTTTTTAAGTTCCAATGTTCACTAAACAAACTGTTATATATCAAGGACTACCTGTATTCCCGGAAGCAGATCTGTCAGACCCTGAATCCAACGGTCATAAGCATGAAAAACAGCCATAAGTCACTTTTTTCCGTAGAGTTTCACGCTACTTTTCACCCTTACGACTGTTGGATCCAGGAGCTATTGGATCTGCCTCAGGAATACAGTAGTCCTTGACTTACAACACTTTGTTTAGTGACCATTCAAACTTACAGCAGTCACTAAACAAACTGTCGCAAGCCAGGGAGTGCCTGTATTCCCCGAGGCAGATCCGTCAACCCCTGGATCCAACAGTCGTAAGGGAGGGGGAGCGGGGAAACGACCATATATTTTCTGTGCTATTGTAAGTTCGAACAGTCACTAAGCACCCCGTTGTAAGCCGAGGACTACCTCTGAGACGTTTACGAGGAACTCAAGATTGAAACGCTTTGCTGCTTTCAAAATATAACCGGCCTCAACTTGCCAATGAACCGGGGGAAGAGAAAGAGAAACTGGAATGCAGAGATTGTGAGAGCCTGGAAACCATCAAGGTCCCCGCTGAAGGTGCTGGTGAGAGAGACGGACTGTTCCCATTAGAAAGGGACGTCTCATAATTACACTGTTTCCCCCAAAATGCGACCTGTTCTGAAAGTAAGTCCTAGCTTGATTTTTACATGTGCTTCCAATATAAGCCCTACCCCGCCCCCAAAATAAGCCCTAATTAAGATCCCGCCCATTTCAGAGTAGATGGGTAAAAATTAAGCTACGATGGGGAGCTGCCCTATTACTTACCTTTGGACAATTGTCGCTGGGCCTCGCACACCCCGACAACTGCCTTGCCAGCCCATTTCTTCTGCAGCCCACAAAACTGGCAAGGCTTTCCTGGCGGCCTCTGGAGCTGATAACAAAGCTCCGGATCGACCCAGAGCACTCTTATTGGCTGCAGAGGCCTTCAGGAAAGCCTTGACGGCTGCAGAAGAAATTCCTGAAGGCCTCTGACAGCGAAAAGGAGGCCAGGGGTAATGTGTGTAAGTGAGATCAGTGGAGAACTTCCCCAAAAAATAGGACCTAGTGATTTTTTTGGTGGCAAAAAAATAAAAGACATTTAAGGGTCTCGTTTTGGGGGAAACATGGTATAATGTGATCGTGCAGGGGTGGGGAGAAAGGGAAGCTATTATTTAACTAGTAATCCCCAAAGGTGCTTTTTTCAAGAGGCAACCGGACTTTCTGGGGGCGGGGGGGGTTCTTTGAAGACGTTTCGCTTCTCATCCGAGAAGCTTCTTCAGCTCTGATTGGATGGCGGGAATGAAAGGATTGATACTCCTTGCAGGCAGCTGGTCATTTGCATCCGTTCAGAGAATCCTTGGGGCCACTTGGAGGTTCGTCTGTGTCCTCGGGGTCACCTGAGTGGTTCCAATGGGTGTGTGGAGCGGTCTTGGAAATGCTGAAACAACCGCGTTGTAGATTGGAGACAGATGATGCCCTGTCTGTTCAGTTTGGACACCAATGGCCTCTTTGACAACTTTCAAAATGTGGACTTGGCTGTCTTCAAAAGGAAGTCATCGCGCGGGAAAACCAGAGCTGGTTTTGTTTCTTCAATGCCAATATGGTGTAGGCCAGGGGTCACCAAACTGTGGGACATGGCACACTACTGGGACATGGCCCAAATACCACAGTGTCACGTGAGTGTGACTGTCTGGTGCACATATACTCACAGTCTCACCTGCATAAGCCTTGTCCCCGGAGCCCGAGGCCCCACTTGCGTTAGCCTCGTTGTGGGCGCTTGCAGCTCCGCTCCCATGAGCCTCATCACGGGAGCTCGCAACCCGACTCCTGCAAGCCTTGTCACAGGAGTTCACGGCCACACTCACACTAGCCTCATTGCAGGAACCGGGGCATGACTCACACAAGCCTCATCAAGGGGAATCCGTGTCCCGCTTCACACGAGCCTCATCGCAGGAACTCACATTCCCGTCTCACCGCGGGAACCCGCAGGCCGACTCACACAAGCATCACCCCAAGAGCTTGCAGCCCCACTTGCACGAATGTCGCCACGAACGTAGCAGTGGTGCCCCCTTGTTGCCCCTCTCACAAAATCGTCCCCTCTTTCTCCCCTCCCCCTACTCCGGGCCCCCAATCCAGAAAGGTTGGGGACCTTGGTGTAGCCCATAAAGATTTACTTTTGGGGGAGTCAAAGCTCCCGGAAGTGTTTTTTTTTTCTTTGATTTGGGTTCACCAGTTGGGACAACTGACAGGGATCAAGATGGCGACTGACCTGGCACGGGGCTTTGGGCGAAGGCTGGAGGGAAGGGCCGCCGGTGGCGAAGAGCCGTAGGGCCTCGTTCCAGTGGGACTGCATCATGGCCTGGAACTGGCTGACCATCTCGGCCCGCTGAGCCTCCAGGCGCCGGTACCTGGCCTTGAACTCTCGCAAGTCGTCGCGCTGCTTGGAGAGCCTGAAAGGCAAAAAAAAGGGACGAGGGAAAAAAATCAACCGGTCAGAAACACTGAAGACGACGGGCTTTTTAAAAAAAATTTAGGTTGTTCTCGACATACGAAAGTTTGTTTAATGAGCCGTTCGAAGTTACGACATGGGAAAAAGGGAATCGGGACCTTTTTTCACACTTCACGACCGTCGGATCCAGGGGCTGATGGATCTGCTTTGGGAATACAGGAAGTCCCAGACTTATGACCCGTTTGTTTAGTGACCATTCGAAGTTACGAAGGCATTGGAAAAAAGTGACTTGGGATCGTTTTTCCACACTTAATGACCATTGGATCCAGGAGGAGCTGATGGATCGGCCTCGGGAATACAGGCCATTCTCGACTTATGACGGTTCATTTAGTGATTGTTCAAAGTTATGATGGCACTGGAGGAAGGGATTTGGGACAGGTCCTCGCATTTGCAATGGTGAAGGAATCCATGGGGCCACATGATTCAAATTTGGATTCTTGGCCACTGGCATCTGTTTACAACAGGTGGAGCATCCCACAATCCCCGTTCGTGACCTTCCCAATAAGCTTTTGATATGGAAAATCAATTGGGGGGGGGCACAAGATTCACTGAATGACCGCCTGATTCACTTAACAACTGCAGTGATTCATTTAGCAGCTGTGGTCCAATGGTTGTCAAATTCGGTCACTCAGCGACTGTCGTGAATTGAGGACTGCCTGTGAAGAGATTTCAGGGGAAGGCTACCTGTTGTGGCTCCGGGCTTGGATTCAGCTCCTGTGACTGATATGAGTTCAAGTGAGGAGGACATGGCAGAAAAATATGAGCCGGCAAGGCTCAGTGATTAGACTAGTAACCAGGATGAGGAGATGGACGTGACAAAGGAAGACAGACCTGATGTATTAGAATTGTCAGGACCTTTGACCTCCTCTGGTTCCTTATCTGATCAACAGCCGGGAATGGCTGACAGGGAAGTTTTGAGAGAGTCTTCTAGTGGAGATGAGAACTTGGAAAATTTGTGGTTAAATGTAAGGAACAGAAGACGTTTGAGAAGGCAAACTCAGCTGGAACGAAGGAGGAGGGCGAGTCAGTAAATTAGCACGTTGCCTCAATGAGTATAAAAAGGACACAGCTGGGCTGGTAAAATTTGCCAGGAACAAAGTGACTTATTGAGTGAGGACGTTACAGCAAGAAGCTCTGAGACTTGAGATTTATTGTCAGGACTGGTTTGCCGGACAGAGTGAAGATTTATGCTGTGGAATGAGATTTCTGCCAGCCGTTATTTTGAAAGACTTCTTTCTGTTTGATTTAATTTTGAAACGGCTGCTTTCTGTTTGGTTCGTTTGAATTTTGAAGGGGAGTCATAACAGTTACCTATGTTCGTAGTCCTCAGTGAGGCGCTTCTGTTGAGCCTCCTTCTCAGACAAATCCAATTTGAACTGAGCCAGCTGTTTCGCCAACTCTTTCTCATGGTGGCTGCTTAGCTCCAGCAACTGCTTCCTGCAAAAAAAAGGAAATAAAATCGAAAATAAAGGACTTTTCCACCCAGAAAATAAAGATCTCTTTGCAAATTTCAGAAAGTAGCCAGCAATAAGCCTTGAGAGAATCAATCATCATCTTCTTTTATTGATCCCATAATCCCTTGCAGAGTAGTCTGGGCAACTGAATGGAGCTAACAGAGTGTTTCCTGGCCAGATGCCCTTCCTGTCACCAATGCGGAGTTTTGTTCAGCAGATATATTCTCATTGTGCCCAGAGAGAGAAATATCTGCCCCTACCTAGGATCGAACTCACAGCTTCCTGATTGGGAGGAGAGAGCTCCGTCTCTAGGCCACTATACCACTCCCATGACGGAATTAATCTTTCTAAAAGAAGAAGAAAAATGTTTACCCTTATATGTAAAAATAAGGATTGTTTTTTTCCCTCACTCAAAAAGAGGTTTTAAATTCTGCCTTTCAGCCCATCTTGGATTACACAGGGGTATTTTATGAATCTTATTATCCAGAATAAAGATTTGTAAAAAATAGAATAAAATAGCTTTAGCAGGCACCAAGGAACGAAGGTGCCTTGTTAATTCTCAAATTACTTTTTGTATCTTCTTAAAGCTATAAACCACAGAGCGTGGAGTTCTTATTTTTACTGATGTTTCCACATCCCTCCAAATCCTTCCGGGTAGATTAGAGAATATATACTTTAAATAAAGTTTTGAATAGCCCTCAACTCTTATCTAAAGCCGTTTAGATTAACAAATCAAACCCACAGCAACAGACAGATGAATCCATGCAACAAGACAGCATTAAGTCCATTATTCTGAATTTCTATATTTTGAGCAACGTTCTGAGGATTTTTCTCCTTGAGTTGTTAGATAAGGAACTTGTCAATTGTAGACCCCTAAAACAGGGGAGATTTAAGACTGTCGGAGTGATAAGAGGATATACAGAGGAAAGAATAAATCATCAATTAATTTGGATGAAGGAGAATAAGACACCTAAAGTCCTGTCTTTGGAAATAAAAGGAAATTTTTGTTCTGAAGTGAGAGACTGGCCAAACATTTGAATTTTGGAAAAAGCCTTCTCTTTAAAATTCCTCAACTGGACTTTCCAAAAAGGTCACAATTGGAGGAAATATAGCAAGTGTTGCTTTTTTAATGTCACACTCTATACAATGCCAGACCTCACTGGGGAATATTTCTATGCCACAACTAAAGTGCCAGTCTGCCACTTTGCTGTTGTACAAGTCAAAAAAGGGGGATTAAGTTAGAAGGGAACTGTATTCGTAGAATTATAGGGCTGGAAGGGACCTTGGAGGTCTTTTAGTCCAACTCCCAAGGCCCCAAAGCAGGAGTCCTTCATCATCCCAGAAAAAAAAGATATGGATGATAGAATAGAATAGAATAGAATAGAATAGAATAGAATAGAATAGAGAAGAGAAGAGAAGAGAAGAGAAGAGAAGAGAAGAGAAGAGAATAAAGAGTTGGAAGGGACCTTGGAGGTCCTCTAGTCTAGTCCAATCCCCTACTGAATAAAATAGAATAGAATTTAGAACAGAATAGAATAGAATTTAGAATAGAATTTAGAACAGAATACAATTTAGAATAGAATAGAATAAAATTTAAAATAGAATAGAATCTAGAATAGAATAGAATAGAATAGAATAGAATAGAATAGAATATATGATAATAGGTGATAGAAGATAGATAGAAGATATAGAGATGAAAGAAAAAAGGAAGAAAAGAAGAAAATAGAAGATATCTGTAATATGTAGAGTAGAAAGAAATGATAGATGATAGAAGATAAGATAGATAGAAGATAGATGATAGATAGACAAATGGATGGACACAGAAGACAAACAGATCACAGAATCATAGGACTGGAAGGGACTTTGGAGGTCTTCTAGTCCAACCCCCAGGGTCCCAAGGCAAGAATCCTTATACTATCCTGGACAAACCTTTCCCTGAAGTCACTTTTCACCATTTTTATGTAGGGCTTCTCCAAGACCTGAAAATTATTTCAAGGTTTCATTTGATTCGCCGACTTTGCAAAACCCGTTTCTACTCCCCTGTAACTAAAGGAGGGGAAGAGGTGAATTGGGCTTCGTGTGTCGCTGAATCACAACGTGCAAATACCCCAACCAACCGAGAGACGCTGCCGTGTTGTCCGGTCACGACTTGCAGTCGTCTCTGTGAATTTGGATGGGGGAAAAAAACGGCAAACTTTTAATTTCCATAATGAAAGAAAGAATTGCAGGCAGAAGCGAAGGAAAGAGGAACCAAATAAGCCACCTAACTCAATTCACAAATGGGAAAAACTCGGTCTCAAGAACCTGAGTTTCAAAAAAGAAATACACCCTCATCTTAACGTTGCAAGGAGGATGTGAAAATAAGAGTCAGGCGGGGTTTGTTTGTTTTTTTAACCAAAAAGTAAAAAAATAATTAGGTCAGAGCTTTGGGAGATCTTTCCTGGAAGGGAATTCCCAATTCCCAAAAAGATGTAAACTGCCAATCAAAGCAAAGAAGCCCAGGGAAGAAACGTGGGGAGAGGAAAAGGGGGGGGGGGGGGGAGACGGGCCACCACGTCCTCCCACCTGTGCTGTTCTCGCATAGCGCTCATTTGGCGCAAGCTGTCCTCGTGAACCTCGGCCAGCCGCTCCGTCACGCGCTGTTCTAAGGCCACCTTCAGCTCCGACTCCAGCTTGGCCTTCTGGGTCTCGAAGCGGGCCTGCAAAGAGGAAAGGGGGAAAGGCCGACATTGGGGGCTCCTGGGGGCTCTCGGAGCTTGGCTGTTCGCCCACAGACGTCTCACGACCCAGCTAGGGAATGCCACCGGTGCTAGCCAGGAGTGGGGATGGAGGAGGAGGAGTCGGTGGAAGTCCTTGGTGTTGCTCTCTGAGCTTGGTGGCTTTCCTGCAGAAAGCTAGGGAATGTCATCAGTGCTGGAAGGGAGGAGGAGGAGGAGGAGGAAGCAGTGGTGTTCTTGGTTATTGTTAATGCAATTTAGGATTGCATTGGCTTTTTTGGCTGCCGCTGCACACGGCTGGCTCCTCTTTAGCTGGTTGTCCACTAAGACTCCAAGATCCCACTCTCAGTTCCTGCTATTGAGCCTGGTTTCACCCAGTTTATATATGTGTATTTTTGGTTTTTCTAAGTGTAGGACTTTCCTTTTCTCTACACTGAATTTCATTTTGTGAGTTAAATGTCATTTTGTGAGTTGGTTAGCTAGGTTGCGCCCACCCACCCCGCTTACCTTCAGCAAGCTCATCTCCATCTTCACGGTGTCCCTCTCTCGCCGCACGGCTTCCAGGTCGGCCTGCAGGCCCTGCATCTCTGCCTGCACCGTCGACAAGGCCTGTTGGGCCTCCAGGGCCTTCTGGGCTTCCCGCTGGGCCACCATCTAGAGGTGGGGACAGAGGCAAGCAGAAGACAAGGCCGGGAGGCCCGCGATAGCGTTGGGCTGGAACACAGGCAGTCCTCGACTTACGGCCGTTGTGTTTAGTGACCATTTGAACTCACAATGGCACTGGGGGGGGAAAAAGGGGACTCCTGTCTACATTTTTCCCCACGCTTAACGACACCCCCGCGATCCGGCGGTCAAAATTTGCACGCTTGGCAACCGGCTCACGTTTACAACGGCCGTTGTAGTGTCCGACGATCTCCCCTTTTGCAACCGTCTAACAAGTAAAGTCAGTGGGGAAAACGGGCTCGCTTAACGACCGCGTGATTCACTGAACAACCACGGCAGAAAGGTCTTAAGGGAGGGGGGTGCGAAACTCACTCAAGGACTGCCTTGCTTGGGCTCTGTGGTGGTCATAAGTCAAAGGCTACCTAATATACACAGCATTTGGACATTTGGAGAAATAAAAGCTTGGTGGGGGGGTTGTTTGTTTGTAAGCCCAGAGTTAGCGATGACCATTTAACAGATTAACCGAGTTGGAAGGGACCTTGGAGGTCATCTAGTCCAACCCTCCCCCTCCCCCCCTGCCCAAGCTGGAGACCAAGCATTCATGACGGTTGCTGTGTCCTAGGTCAGGTGATCTCCCTTTGCGGCAAAGTCCGGGGGGGGCGGGGAGAAAGAACCACATTCACGTAACAACCGTGTTCCTAACTTAACAACTTCAGTGAACAACGGTGGTCAGAAAAATGGTGAAAAATGGGGGCAAAACTCACTTGACAACTTGCTCACTTTAACAACATAGATTTGGGGACTCCGCTGTGGTCGAAAATTGAGGATTAATCTGTACAGAGTTACAAAACCCCAATCCACATACACATTAAAGACACACAATCTGGCATTTTTTATATAGATATAGATAGATAGATATAGATATAGATATATAGATATAGATATAGATATATATCTATGGGATATATATACAGATATATTTTACAAATTCCAGGATCCAGCTCAGCCAATAAAGCAGTGTTTCTCAACCGTGGGCAGTTTGAAGATGTGTGGACTTCAACTCCCAGAATCCCCCGGCCAGCTCTGCTGAGGAAATTCTGGGAACAGACGTCCCACTGCCAAAGTTGAGAAAACACAGCGATGAAGGACGCTGTTCCCTTTAAGAAACTTCTTAAAAGCTACATATCCTTGTTTTCAGCACTTTTTATTCCCCCACCTCACCCCATTTTTACCCTGCCTTTCCTCTGAAGCTCAGAGGACTAAATCACTGAGGACTAGAAACTTCCCAGAGTAAAACCTGAAAGGCAGGTAAGGCACCCCCCCAAAAAATGACTCTACTAATCCAGACTTGCATTTATTATTATGTATTAGATTTTTATCCTGTCTTTACAAGTAACTCAACATGGTGAATATACCTGCTGTATTTTCCCCACAACAATCGCCCTGTGAGATGGTTTGGGTTGAGGGAGAGAGAGGGGGTATCACCCAGCCAGCTTTCATGCCTAATAACGGGACTAGAATTCATCCTCTCATGGTGACTGCCCGAAGTCATCCAGCCAAGTTTCATATCTAAGGTAGAACCAGAACTCACCCTGATGACTGGCCCAAAGTCATCTAGCCAGCTTTCGTGGCTAAAGCGGGACTAGAACTCCCATCTTCTAATGACTGGCCCAAAGCCACCCAGCTGGAGTGAAAGCCACCCCTTTCAGAGTGAAAACAGAACCAGAACTCCCATCTCCTGGTGACTGGCCCAAAGTCCATCCAGCCAGATTTCATACCTAAGATGGAACTAAAATTCATCGTCTTCTGCTGACTGGCTCAAAGTTACTTAACCGGCTTTCATGCCTAAGGCAAGATTAGAACTCACTGTCTCCAGCTGATTGGCCCAAAGTCACCTAGCCAACTTTCATGGTTGAAGGAAGAAGAGAACTCCCACCTCCTGGTGACTGGCTCAAAGTCAACTCAGCCAGTTTTCATGGCTAAAGTGTGACTAGAACTCCCTGTCGCCCGATTTCTAGCCTAGTGCCTTTATTACTATCCCACACGGGCTCTTGCCTGATGCTGCGACTCTAACCTTGCTTCCAAAGCTGAATCCTTTGGCTTAATGATGGGATAGTGGTTTGACCGAGTAGCTTCTTTACCTCCAGTTTGCAAGCTAGAGCCATTTCAAAGAGGAGACCTGGTCAACGACTTACAGTTTGGGAAGGCCGCTGTTTTTCCACCTTGCAGAAGGGCCCAATCCGCTGCAACTCCTCCCAGACCTTGTGCTCCATTGCAAAAGCCAAGCCTTCCCTGGGACCAGCAGCCCAAGAAATTGGGTTTTTCAGGGCGGGGTCAGGCAGGGTAGCCTCACCATGCCAAATTGGATGGGTGTGGCCCCCCACACCTTTCTCCTCTGGGGAGCCAGCTATCTATCCCCGGCTGCTAAGAGAGAGGAAGTCACATAACGTGGGGAAGGAAGAAGGTGAGTGAAAAGGCTGCTGGATTCACAACAAATGCTTTAAGAATGAAGGAAAAGGTGCTAATTGGATGGGCTGCCTTTCCTGCAATTCGTTTCTCTGCTTGATTTATTTATTTGTCTCCTGCCTTTCTTATTTTTAAAAATAGCACAAGGCAAAGAACAACATCCAACAAACCTTCCTCCTCAAATTTTCCCCAGAACAACAGCCCTGCCGGGTGGGCGGGGCTAAGAGAGAGGGAGTGGCCCAGGGTCACCAAGCCAGCTTTCATGGCTAAGGTGGGACTAGAATTCACAAACTCATTGGGAATTAGCCCAAAGTCAGCCAGCCTTGGGAGATAATTCAGGGCTAGAACTCACAGTCTCCTGGTGATTGGCCTCAAGTCGGGACTAGAACTCATGGTTGCTAGCCTGGTGCCTTAACCAATAGACATAACTGTCTCTGATAAAAGAAAATATCTGTAGCTCAGGGTTGGACTGTGGAGTCCTTGAGGCTCTCTGAGCTTGGTGGTTTTCATGCAGACTTTTCACAGCCTGACTAGGTAACATCATCAGTGCTAGAAGGGAGGGGAAGGGGAGGGGGAGGAAGAAGACTGTGGGATCTTGGTGCTCTCTGAGCTTGGGGGTTTTCCTGCAGACATTTCACGGCCTGACTAGGTAACATCATCAGTGCTAGAAGGGAGGAGAATTTGCAGAAAGAGAAGCAGAAGGATTGCTGGGGGTCCTTGGAGGTCTCAGTGAGTTCTGCTGTTTGCTTGCAGGCATTTCGTGACCCAACTAGGTAACGTCATCAGGGCTCTAAGTGGCCTCTTAGCTTTACGTTGTTGTTTTTCACTTTACCAAAAACAACAACAACAACCAAGCAGCCTAACTTGGAAGTCAACCTAAGGGGGAGGCTGACTCTCTACTCCCTCCACCTGCAAACAAGGAGGCCAAGACAGCTTGCCTCAAGTTCCAATTCAGCTTGTGGCTGCGGGGGGCTTCTGCCCCCACCCAGACCGGGAGGGACCTCCACCCTCACCTTCTCCTTCTCGAGGTGCAGCCGGCTCTCCTCCTGCGCCGTCTGGAGCTGCTCCTCCAGCTGTTTCTCCCGCTGGACCCAGGTCCTCTGCTGCTCCTCCAGGGTGGCCCGCAGAGCGTCCCGCTGCCGCCGGTCCAGATCCCACTCGGCTTCCAGGCTCTGCCCCCGGACACGCTCTGCCTCCAAGCTGCAGGAGAGGGCAGCCTTTTCCTTCTCCTGGGGGGGGTGGGGAGGGGGGAGAGAAACGAGAGAGGGGGGAAAGAACAAGGCTCAACTTTGGGCAGCTGGTTTGCAGGCGTTGGGCTTATTCTTAGCTCTCTGTTTAGGTTTAACCCTGGTTTACTGAACAACAGAAGAGCTGGAAGGGACCTCGGAGGTCCTCTAGTCCAGCCCCCTGCTCAGGCAAGAGACCCTATACTATTTCTGACAAATGGCTGTCCAATCTCTTCTTGAAAACCTCCAGTGATGAGGGAGGGAGGAGAAATAAAGAATGGAAGAGAAAAATATGAGCGAATGTGGAAAAGAAGGAAGGAAGGAAGGAAGGAAGGAAGGAAGGAAGGAAGGAAGGAAGGAAGGAGAAATAAAGAATGGAAGAGAAAAAATGTGGGTGGGAGGACGGGAGGGAGGGAGGAACAAAGGAAGGAAAAATAGAGAAGAATGGAGGAGTGAAAATGTGAGTGAATGTAGAAAAAAAGGAAGGAAGGAAAGAAGGAGAAATAAAGAATGGAGGAGAAAAAATGACTGAATGTGCAAAAAAGGGAAAGAAAGGAAAGAAGGATAGCAGAATAACGGAGTTGGGAGGGGACCTTGTAGGTCATCTAGTCCAACCCCCTGCTCCGGCAGGAGACCATATGCCACTCCAGACAAATGGTTGTCCAACCTCTTCTTAAAAACTTCCAGTGTTGGAGCACCCACAACCTCTGGATAGAAGTTGTTCCACTAATTAATAATCAGTGAATTAACTGTTAATTCCTGTTAATACTGTTAATAATAATCAGTTATTATTAATCAGGGGATCAACTGAATAAACGAACCATCCACGGCTGTGTAAACTATTGGTTTACAACAGGGGTCTCCAAAACTGGGTGGCTTTTAAGACTTGCGGACTTCAAGTCCCAGAATCCCCCGGACAGCCCTTTTCTCCGCTTTGCATACCCGCCATCGAGTCAGAAAGTTACCCTATCAAAAACGGCGATGAAGTAGCCTGGCTGCGTTTGTCCTATCTAGGCCGGATTCTGCTAAAACCTTGCCGGTTTGGGGGGAATTCTGGGAGTTTGAAGTCCACACATCTTAAAGCGGCCAAGTTTGGGGTCCAGATTGCGAGGCTGGGCTCTACGTGTCGGGCGAAATCTTTAATGCAAGGTCAGCCTCAAAACCAGGCCCCGCTTTCTCTCCCCCCCCCCCCCCCCCCCCCCCCCCCCCCCTTTCCCTCTCTCTCCGTTTTCCTTTCTCCGCCTCCCTCTCTCTGTCCCTCTCTTTATCTTTCTGTTTCTCTTTCTCTCCCTCCCTCCCTTCCTCCCTCCCTCTCTCTCCGTCCTTCTCTGTTTTTCTGGGTTTTTCTCTCTCTCTCCCCTGCTCTTTGTCCCTTTCTCTCTTTCTGTTCATTCTCTCCATCCCTCCCTTTGTCCTTTGCTTTTCTTTCTCTCTCTCTCTCCCTGTTTCTTTCTCTCCCCCCCTCCCCCCTCCCTCCCTCCCTCCCTCTCTCTCTCTCTCTCTCATACACACACACACACAGAGAGAAGCAGCTCTTACCAAGGCCTCTTTCTCCCTGCAGTACTGGCTGGCCAGCTGCTGTTCCCGGTGGAGGGTGGACAAGGCCTGCTGGAGGCGTCCTTCCAGCTCTGACATTTTCTAAAGAAGAGCAAAAAGAAGACATGGAACATCCTTAAGGACAGATCCAACCTGGAAGCACAGGCAGTCCTCGCCTTACGACCAACAACCGAGCCCAAAATTTACATTGCTAAGCGAGAGATTTGTTTCAGGGAGCTTTGCCCCCGTTTTAAGACCTTTTCTTGACGCCGTCATTAAGTTAGTAAGACGATTGTTAAGTGAGTCTAGCTTCCACCCATGACGACTTCGCTGGTCAGATGGTCGCAAAGGGAGAAATCGCGTGGCACAGTGACATGGCGACTGCCATAAATACGAGTCAGTTGCCAAGCGTCTGAATTATAATCATGGGGGAGGCCGCAACGGTCGTAACGGTGAAACGTGGTCCTAAACCACTTTTTTCACTGCCGTTTTAAGTTCAAACGGTTGATAAATGAACAGTTGTAAGTTGAGGACTATCTGTGTGTGTGTGTGTGTGTGTGTGTGTGTGTGTGTATCTATCTATCTATCTTTGGTTATTCGGGTTTTCTCCCGCGTAAAATTGGAAGTGTCTAGGCGACGTTTCAATGAAGTCTCATTCATCAT